AGTATTTGTTGTACCAAGTGTTATACAACACAAATTTAGACTAACCATTTAACAAGCAAAGTAATGAAAGTGAACAACATAACAAATACAAAACATGTTAGTATCAAACATTAAAGTCCATATTAAGTTTACATTATACTTATTCTTACACCATTAGTGTAACCTTTTCACCTTGACATAATTAACTTAGCTAGACATAATGAAAGAAAGCAAAATAGATAAACAAAATAAGAACATAAAAGTTAACTAAGTAAAGGAAAGGAAATGAAAGGCATAAACTTGATATTAATGAAAGCAAAGCATAAACATTACAAAAAATACAAAGAGAGAAAGGAAGAGCATGATCTTGATCTGGAAACCAAGATGCCTAAATGCATGGCAAATGCCTCCTTTTATAGGCCAAAATTGGGAACTATTGATTTGATGACTAATTGATCAAAATTAGAAACTATTGATTTGATGACTAATTGATTAGTGAGCAACAAAATCTTGACTTGGTGACAATTTTTATGTTCTTGTTTGCCAAAACCATCATTAATAACATTAGAATTTGAATTTCCACATGAAAGTTCTAAGAAATTATCTAAGCTTTTTAGGAAAAAATATTAAGGTCATTTAGACTTTTAGAACTCGAGATATGGGCTAAACACTGAATAATGTCTGGGCTGTAGTACAAATTTAAATTTCTACATTTTTGCTAGGATTTGGACTTCCAAACAACATAATTGAGTCTTGACTTCTATGAAAGTTTTAGGTATAGTCTTAGCTTTCCACCCATATAAAACAGACCTAAATTTGAGATCTACAACTCTAAATATGACCCAATTACCGAACAATACTCCAGTTTGGACTACATTAGCATATCTTTTCTAACTTTGGCCCTCGTTTTGTCCTTTCAATTTCAATACTTTAACTGATCAATCAATCCTTTTATTTATGTAATAGACCTGTATTTAGGATGAACATTTACCATAAATTAAAGGTACCTTCCGGTATTAGACTTATTATTATAAAACATGTTTTAGTTAAGGAGTTATTGATATTTCAAGTGCAAAGTAATAATATAAAACCTTGACAAAAATACATTTTTAAGTACTAATCATCAAACGTGTTTTGAACCGGAGTTATTATGAAGTAACTATGATTGTTAAATGAGTACTATAATGAAATAAAAGTTCATCAATGATTAATAGAAATGTATTAAATTTGAATAAATGTATTTACAAAAACAAAGTTAGTGAAATTGATTTTACTTGTATCATTGATAATTATTAGTAACTCTGATGACACAAATATTCATTACGAGTTTCATGATGTTATATATTTTACAGGTATTTTATTTAGGATATCACGACTCCATAAGAAACATTATTAAGTTAATTATTCTTCATATATTGAATAAGTTCTAGCAATATGTAATGAATGTTTGTAAATAAATCTCATGTAAATAAATTGGAAAGCAATGTACTATATAAAAGTGTAAATAAAGATTGTGTAACGGTGTATTTTTTAATGAAATTTTTAGATGTTGAGTTAAGACAATTCTTATCGTTGTATAAAAATAATATCCCTAATTTTCATGTTTAGGATAATTTAGAAAGATGAAAATCATATTTAAAGTACAGGGTGTTATAGGAACTGTTAACCCTAGTTAACTCGGGTCAATGTAAGAATAAATGTATAGGAACTGTTAACCCTAGTTAACTCGGTTCAATGTAAGAATAAATATTGTTATTATCATAGTTTTAAAACCTGATTTAAGGGTCAACAAGGGCAAGACCTGGGTTACGGGTTAGAAGGGTTAACTTAAGTTGACCCGAGTCAACTTATAAATAAAAATAATTATTATCATAACTTTAAAACTCGATTCTAGAGTCGACTTTAGGTAATATTCATACCATAGTTTGAGAGGGTCAATCCGTTTGACACCAATTTTTTTTAAATAATCAAAGTAACATTGTTTTTTACCTTTTTTTAATCTCAAGATGATTAGGATTTTTGATCAAGTCAAGTTGAGTCAATCATTCCTTTATTTTTTCTTAAACTCAAACTAGTCTAGACCCTAAGTTACTCGTTTCTAGGTCAACCAGCCAAGTTAGTCATGATTTTATGACTAGGGTTATTATAATCTTATTAATTTCAACTCTCAATATAAACTAAAAAATCTAATTATTTTATTTTTTAAAAAATATGTATGTTTGATAGCAATACAAATTATGGGTAAAATATAGTTTTTTTATATTTTATTCTATCTTGTCTACCATTACCATACATAATATAAAAATAGTTACTTTGTCTTGTACATCATTACTAAACATAATTCTATCTGTTTTGTTTATGTTTTGTCTTATCTATCTCCACCATCTTAGTCTTTTTTATCTTGAGATAGTATCCAAATGCTATTTTTTAAAATATAAGATAACTTAGTGATTTCAAGTTTAAGAATTACTTATATAACTATCATATAAGTCTTTTCATAGATACACATGATCTTCTTATAAACAATCCTCAAATAGGTTAGTTTAATGTACGTGTCATCTAAAAAGATCTTATATATATATATATATATTAGTTTTAGATATTCCTTATATATCAACTTATAAGAACAATTATTTTTATTCATAAAGGGAAAGAATATAATATATATTGTTCTCAATAACTCTAATTAATTAATGTCTAGCCTTAATGTAATACCGATTAAGAACATTTAGAAATAATACTTTAATGCAATATTAATATCATAATTATAACTATTTTATAATTTTTTTATAAAATATTTTTATTTTAATAACTTTATGTTTACTCTAAACTCAATAATCAATCATGAATGAATATTAAAGATAAATAAAATCTTTAATAATAATAAACATGATTTTATATAAATAAAGTCAATGTGATTGACTACAAAAAAAAAAAATATAACATTCCATTAAACAAAATTGTTTTCAATGCGCCATGAAGATAAATATGAGTACATTAACTTGGAGGCAAAATCAACTAGATCTATTCCTATTTTTGGAGGATAGCTAGACATGTCATACGATAATGCTTTGTCCCTTGCCAAAAAAAGGCAACTCAATATTCTAGGAATGCTTCTATAGCAGATCCGTTGTTATAGCTATCTACTTTAGTTAAAAAGATTTACAGTTTCATCAATGATCCAGGAATCAATGAGACTTGTTTATAAGCTTGGAAACTGTTATGATATTACCTGATGCGTACAGGAGGAGGGACTCCACATTCATATGAGATATTTCGAAGTGTTCGAGGATGAACACAATATAAATACTCTCTTTGCTAATTCTCATGCGAGTTCGCTTTGATTATTGTCCATCGAAACTTGATTCGCCATTACTATCAGAGGTTTACCAAGCTATAGAGTTTCAAATATGCTCATAGACCATGTGTAATATATGATTATGAGAATTAAGTGATTGTAACATTAATTTTGAGACCTCAAGTCAAAGTCACACACAACTCGGACAACTTGCCTAGCTACCATTCTATCCTCGTGAGACATTTTCTGTATCAAGATTCCGAACCACACGACAAAGTCTACATGGAAAATGCTTTTTGGTGCAGAGATTGTAGACGGTAAAGGCTGACTTCACTGTGATCTGATATGGACCTATTTAAAATTTTAAATTAAAATCAAAGACAAGCAATAAAACCAGACAAAGGCCCAGATATGTCCAATATTGAAGGTCTACTAAATGTCAATATCAGTTAAACCGTGACATGGAGGTGGAAGTTTCCAACCAATTCCTTGGCCCTTGTGTGGAAAATTAAGCAATTTGGAAACGTGTGGCACGATCCTGGTGTTTGATCTAGAAGCCCACTTAAATCCCATGTAAACAAATTCAAACAGAAAGTGCCAGCCCAGCTTCTAGACAAAGCTTACCGAATTGGATCAATTTTTCCACAATTATTAAACCAATCCACCACCGCTCTTTCTGTCATAATACGACAAGATGACGTTTCTTTCAAATTGAAGCCACCCCACTTGCCTCTCTGATTATTATTTATGAAGGTCGGAAAATACAGCTGAACTTCTCAACTCCATGATTCATGCGCGGGTATGTGTGTGTATATGTAAGTCCATGTTTAGCTGTCGGAAAACAGAAGGATCAAGCATGGGTATGCCTAAGTCATTTTTGCTTCTGCTGCTGCTAATAGTCACTGTATCTGCATCCCAGAAACAAAGAACCATAGAAGCGAGGGCGCTTTCATCCCTACCTCAACAAAGTAAGTACGTACATATGTATCGCAATTTTACACTTAAGATGTCTCTCAAACGATGATTATAAATTGATCGATTGTTCTCTTACTTACCATGAGCATGCAATTTGTAGAATATTCCAAGATTTTTCAGACGCTGGGAGTTGTTTGCAAGTGCTGTGATTCAACAGGACCTGAATGCGCAACTACTTGGACGGGTTCATGCCATGATCTCCAATGCCTTCCTGGAAGATATAGACTAGAATAATCCGTGATTTCCTTGTGCTTCTCTTCCTAGTGGTTTTTGTAGATATATTTAGTCATACTCGATCGATTTGACATAAAATTTTGCATTTTAAAATACTGCAACAAAGTAGAGGCGTTCAGCTTTTAGCTTGGCCATGTTCTAGCTTCATAAAATGATCCTAACATGACAAGCTTAATCTGGTCAGCAGACATATTAAAGACTATATAGAATTTTTACGCTTAACTTCTCTCAAGATATATTGTAATTTGAATCATGCAAGGCAGATATGGTATAAGATCAACAAAGAATTTCAAGGTTAAGAACTTAAGAATAAAAAGAAAATTAAGGGAAAGATATACTTTTATTAAGTGTGTCATCTTAGCTATTCTTTTTATTTTTATGCTTATTAATAATTTTAAATTACAAGTTTTTTTATATGCATAAAGTTTTAAACAACCAGGGAATTAAACTAATATAGAAAAATCCTAATCTAAATAGAAATTGTATCTTGCCGACTAAATTTATTGACCATTTCTAAATTTTTCATAATCCAAAATCTAGTTTATTTTCAACATCCCCATAAATTTTATTTCTTTATAAGTCCTAAAACATCTTTCATTTTGATAAAAACATAATATTTGAGTGGCTTTGTGAATACACACACACAAAAAAAAAAAAAACAATGCAATATTTCAAGTAATAAAATCTTATGTAAATATACTTACTTCTATCATGAAATATTGGATTCTTTGCTAATGTAGTGGTTGATGAATTGCATTGGATTCTTTGCTAATGTAGTGGTTGATAAATTGCTTATATATATAAATTTATTTATTTCAGTAGGCTTGTCTTGTGGTATTCACAATTTCTTTAATAATCTCCTTAGCCATATGAAATGATAAACATATAATATAGTAGTTATATATTCAACTTCACATGTTGAGAAAATGAACTACATGTGAATGTTATGTCTTCCATATAGAAAACAAAACTCGTAGTGTTCTTTCTATCATCTATGTCTTCAACTCAATCACTATCACTATAACCCATAAGCTCAAACCTATTAGAATAACCATAAAATAAGTCAAATTCAACAATACCTTAGATATACTAAATAATTCATTTTGAAACTTTAAAGTGTGTCACAGTAGGTGTCTCTATAAATCTACTCATAAGTCTCATTCCAAAAAGAATATTTGAATGAGTGCATAACAAATATCTAAAACTTTCAATTAAGCTTTCATCTTAAACTTCTAAAGAACCCCTCCAAAAAGAATATTTGAATGAGTGCATAAAAAATATCTAAAACTTTCAATTAAGCTTTTAAACGTTGTAAAGTTTATCCTTTTTTCTTCATCATTCTTTGACATCTTCACTCCACACTTAACTGGAATATTCACTTTTGCATAATAATTCATCTTAAACTTCTAAAGAACCCTACTACAAACTTCTCTTGATTCATAAAGATTCTATCTTCTTCTTGTATGATCTCAATCCTTAAGTAGTAGGACATGATACCAATATATGTCATCTCAAACTCTTTGATCATTGCTTACATGAAGTCTTTAAACATCTTTGGATAATTTTCTTTAAAGACGAGGTCATCCACATACAAACATATAATAAGAGTATCATTGCTCTCTTTAATCTTTATATAAATAGCATATTCATAGAGAAATTTAACAAATTTAGTTTCTTAAAAATAGCTATTAATGCAACTATAACAAGCCCTTGATGCTTGCTTCAATCCATATAAAGCTTTATTCAACTTTAAAACATTGTCTTCATGTTACTTTACTTTATAACTCATGAGTTGCTCAATGAAGACCTTGTCCTCAAGAAAACCATTAAGAAAGGTTGATTTGATATCTATTTGATAGATTTTTCATTTATGTTAGGCAATAATGATAATTATTAATTGAATAGTCTTTAATCTAGCAATGAAAGCAAAAACCTCATCATAGTCCATCACATGCTTTTGACACCTATTGGCTTCTTTCTTATAGCATTATTTTTTTGTTTATAGATCCACTTGACATCTATTAGTTTCTTTTTATGTGGTTTAGAAAACAATTTTCATTCTTCATTCTTCTTAATTGATGCAATCTCCTCATCCATAAAAATTCTCTATTTTACATCCTTTATTGCTTCCTCAAACACTATAAGATCACATGTAGAAAGCGATAATATAAGGTTACATCATCAATAAGATTAGTTATCTTTCATAATTCATCAAGACTCCTCATCTTTCTTGGTGGATTTAGTAGAGTGCCACTATTTAACCTTTCATTGGAAGAAAAAAAAAGAAGGAGAAGTTGAGCTCATTAGTGTAGATGAAGGTGTAATCATAGGTTCTTGATGATTTTTATATCTTTTCTTCTCTTGATAAAGAACTAGTAGGAAGTTATATTTCTCACCATTATTTACCTTCTAATCCTATGCTCTTTCTTCAATAAACTCAACATCTCTACTAATCACTATTTTTCCTTTATTAGGGTTGTAAAGCTTGTATTCTTTGTACTTTTGATCATATCCTAAAAAAATCATTCCTTTTCTTTTATCATTTAGCTTGATCTTTATTTGATCATCTATATATACATAGCCAACACACTAAAAAACTTTCAAGTAAGAATTACTTGTCTTTCTTTTTCTCCATGCTTCTTATGGAGTCATGCTATTTAAGCTTTTGATAGGGCATCTATTTGACAAGTAGAAAGCATAATTTATAGCTTCAGCCCAAAACTCTTTAGGTATCTTCTTAGTTTTGAGCAAGCTTGTCATATTGAAGATGCTTCTTTTCTTTCTCTCTATCATGCTATTTTGTTGTTAGGAGATCTAGGTACTACTAGGAGTCTCTTTATACCATGATCTTCACAAAACTCATTAAAACTATTATAACATAATTCACCCCCTTATCCATCCTAAATGATTTTATAAAATAATAATTATTTTTAACTAATGCCTTAAACTTCTTAAAGTAATTAAATTTATTAGATTTTTCTTTTAAGAAGTATACCTAACTTTTTCTACTATAATTATCAATAAAAAGTAGAAAATATAGATTTTTACTAAACAAACATAGTTTGATAGGACCATAAATATCGACATGTATTTCTTACAGGGGTTGACTTGCTCTTGATGTAGGACTCCTTTAAAATGCTCTTGTAAAATTACTTGCCCACTAAAAACCCTTCACAAAACTGATTCAAATGTATAATGGATGGTAAACCCTTCAACATCTCATTTTGTGTCATCATCTTTAATCTATTAAAGTTTATATGTTGAAGTCTTGTATACCAAAGATAAGTCTCATCATTCACCCATGCATTTAGGCATATTCATCTTTATATTTAGCAAGAAAATTTACTCTTTATCATGGCTGCCTTTGCAATTATAGCTCCTTTAGTGTCGTATAATGTTAAAGTATGGTCTTTCATCTTAATCTCATACCCCTTCTTTAACAATTATCCCAAGTTTAATATATTGCTTGTTATCATTGGTTTATATAATACACATCACCAATAAATTGATGACTTTCATCTTTTAGTTTAATCAAAATCATAACTTTCCTTTGATGGTAACCTTTGAATGATCTATAAAGGTAACATTACCTCTAATTGCTTCATCAAGCTCTATGAACTTGTCTTTATCTCTATACATGTGGTTTTTGGCTCCATTATTTAGATATGACATGTTCTCTTTGTCTTGCATTCTCTTATTATGCACTAGTAGTTGGGTGGTTTCCTTTTCTTCTTCTATCAGAAGATTTGCATTCTCCTCAATTCTCTTGGTTGGACTCCAACAATCCCTAGTATAAAGACCTATCTTTTAAAAATTATGGCATTTAACTTTTGATTTGTGAAACCTGGATATCAGATTGCCACTATTAGGGTAACTAGTTGACTAATTTGCTTTATGTGGTTTACTAGTTTACCTGTTGAGGCTGCCTTGGCCTCCTCTTATAAATCTATCTCTTGCTCCTCTTCTTTATTTTATCCATATCCTCTACCCCTATGGGAATATCTGGAACCATTTTGATTTGAAAAAATGCTCATACACCCATATTCTCTTAAATGTCATTGACTAGTTTCTTATAGGCTTGTAATTTTCTCATGAGACCTTATATTAAAAGAACATTTATGTTTTGTAATTCCTTTATTGCGACCATTATATAATGGAACTTCTTTTACAACGAGCAAAAGATCTTTTTTAGCACACGTGTCTCTTTTATATTCTCTCTATATCTTTTTATTTGATTGCATATGACCATTACTTTTTACAAAGTATTTTGAAATATTCTTTGATTCAAGTATATATAACTTTTCAAAGTTACCACGTAGCTTTTATAGATGTACCTTTCACATGTTGTCAACTCCTTAGTTTGATTCTTGTAAAACTTCTCATGCTTATTTGGTGATAGTTACATTAGTCACTATCTCAAAAATGACATCATCTAGATATTGATGGATGATTGTTAGTGTTTATTATCTTTCCTTTGTGCCTTTTGCACATTTTATTTTTAGGTTGAGATCAACATTACTCCATCTATAAGCTCCTAAAAGCTTTTTTCAACCGTTTCTCATATATCTCGGGAATCTAGCCAAGCTTTTATTTGAATACACTACGTTTCATATATGTCTTTTGTCAACCTAGGATAATGAAGTGGGAAGTTTACCATATTAAATAATCAAACCTAAACTAAGATATCACTTATTGGAATAAGTTTAGGTGTGGAATAAGATCAACATAAAAATGCTAGGTTAAGAACTCAAGAATAAGAAGAAGATTGAGAAGAAGATATACTTTTATTAAGTGTTTCTCCTTGAGCTCTCTTAAGTATTCTTTTTATTTAGATCTCAAATTTATTATATAAATGGAAAGGTAAGATATAGTCCTACAACTTTTATATAGAGCTTAAAATTTAAAAAGGTCATTTTTAAGTCCAGATTGTAGCAATAACAAAGAAGTCTAAATCTATCCTATAGCTCGCGCACTATGTAGTGTTTAGCCATATCTGAAGTTTTATAAGTCCAAATGACCTCTATTTTTTCTTGGAAAGCTGAGATAATTTCCTACAACGTTCATGTCTTCAAGTGGTTTCAATTCTAATGTTATCAATGATATTTTGGGCAGAGAATAGAAGATAAGGAATGTCACCAAGTCAAGAGTTAGTCACCCACTCATCAATTAGTTATCAAATCAATAGTTCCCAATTTTAGTCTATAAAAGGAGGCATTTGCCATACAT